ATGAGTTTGCATAAGCTTGTAGCTGTTTGTTGACTTCCAGAATTTCTTCTTTCTTATTGGTATGGCTTCCAAACTTCCCAAAAGACTCATTTACAGGCAAAATGCTTTGCACATACACCTTAGTTTTGGGTGATTTGGCTTTGATAATAGAACAAATCAAAAGGATATTCTTAACTACGCTATCGGGTTTAGTGCCACTTTTTAAATCATTTACTCCGATAAGTAGAAAAACTTTTTTTGGATTTCGGTCTGTTACTTCTTCTATTCTATTCAGAACTCCAATAGAATTGTCGCCACTAATTCCTCGGTTTTTGATGTGCAAATCTTGAAATAGTTCGCTCCATTCCCCACCATCAGTGATGCTATTTCCTAAAAAAATAATGTCATCCTGCGTTTTTGGTAAACTCTTGAAAAGGGTAACTTTTTGGTGATAATAGGTTGAAAACAACGAGTCATTGAAATGCGGAATTTGTACCTGAGCGTGAGCTACAAACTGTATGAATATTAAAGTTATGAAAAGAAATATTTTTCTCATTTCCAGTTTATGTTTGAAAATACAATTTGTGAATAATTATCTTTTTCAAACAAGACACCCATTGTTTTCTTGCTTATTTTAACAATATCTGAATATGCAGAAGGCGATTTGTCTTTTTTGCCGGCTCCAGCATAAACCAGCTTCGAGATTTTCCATGTTTTCCCCTCATCAAAACTGATTCTGAGTGTTAAGTTGTCTCGATTTTTGGTATCGGCGGCATTGCAAAAAGCCAGAATTGATTTCCCTTTTTTCTTTCCGATTGTAAGAATACTCCCCTCGCAAACAGGGTCAGGTAGGTTTTCATCAAAATAAGTTTCGTCCCAAGTTTCACCTCCATTATTGCTTATGGCTACTATTCTCGAGCGTTTATCACCCTTTTGATTGCGAGCATTGAGCATAAGTCTATTGTTAGAAATTGCAGTGGCGGTCGCTTCATTACTCCCTTCAATCTTTACTATTTCACTTAGTTTGAAGGTTTTTCCGTGGTCATCGGTATAAAAACCATGGGAGGCATAGTCGGTAAATTGTTTTTGGGGTTCACCAGTAGAGTGGTTGGCAGCTATAAAAATTCGTCCTTTGTACTTTCCTTCATCAAACTGCATTGCATGACCAGGCGTATTGGCATAAGACCGCCAATCTTCTTTGAATGTGTAAGCAGGATTTACCGAAGGTTGATTAGGACGATGCGTTTGTAAAGTAATATTTACGCCTTCGCTCCAAGTATTTCCACCATCTGTTGATGTTTTGTACCACACTTCTCTGAGGCCTATCCCTTTTCTTACTTCACCTTCATGGTTATTGCCTGTGTTATAAAAAAGAAATACTCGACCCTTTGGAAAATTTGGGTCAGAATTATCAAAGACTGGGGCGGGGTTACCAGCTTGCAAATCGTTATAATCCAAAACGGTAGTCATTGAACCCCATGTTTTCCCGTTGTCGGTACTCTTTTTTAAAACGATATTGATATCTCCAAAATCATTACTTCCGGCTACTCTGCCTTCTGCAAATGCCAAAAGTTCTCCTGTCCCATTTTTGATAATAGCGGGTATTCTATATGATTTATGTCCTTCAGTGCCAGACACAAAAACGGGAACTTGTGCTGTCGCTTGAAAAATGAATGTCAACACGATGAATACAGACAAATAGGATTTCATAATTATTTAGTGTTTAAAAATTCTTCCAAAATCTGAACACAATACCATTCTTGGCGGGGTAAGTGAAAAGGGCCTTTGTATAAATTGCCTTTGGCGGTTTGGGCTATTGTACCATCTCTATGCAAATATCCGAACCATTCTCCATTTATTTTATCATGAAAATGACCATAGGCATACTCATGCACTAAATTATGCCATTTAGCATATTTTTCATTGCCAGTCATCAAATAAGCCAAAAGAGTTGCAATAATGACCTCATTATGTGGCCACCAAAACTTCATATCTTGCCAATATTCCTGCACGGGCTTGTCATATACATCTTTAAAGTACATGATGCCTCCGTGCTCTTTGTCCCAACCACGCTCCCACATGTAATCGAGCATTTTGCAACCCAATGCAATGAGATGAGGGTCGTTATTTCGATATTTGGCCTCATGTAAAATAAACCATGCACCTTCAATGGCATGACCTGGATTAAGTGTTCGACCATCAATATGGTCAATGATGCTACCGTCAGAGGCTACTTGCTCCATTACGCATTTGATATCATCTTTTACGAAGTAAGTTTCTATTTCTGCTATCCACTTAGATATCCATTTATCGCATCGCTCATCTCCAATGTTTTCTCGAATTTGCTGAGCTGTGTTAATCATTATCATAGGCACACCTATGCCTTTTGAAGGTCTCGTTGCTGTAAACTTTGGAGTAAGTAAACCTGGCGTTGTGGCATATTCTATACATTTGCCAAAAAGATATCGTGCTTTTTCGGTGGCCTTTGGGTCACCGCTTGCTTTTGAATAAGCTGCATTGGCAATGGCTGCAAAAGTTTCAGAAAAAAAATACCTGCGTTTACGAATCGGTTTGCCTTCTCTGGTTACATGAAAAAACATTTGTCCGTCGGTGTCAAAACAGTGATTATTTAGAAAATCAATTCCGCTCTTTGCACCTGTCAACCATTCTAGTTTTTGCTCAAAAGTATTGTACAGTGTCGAAAGCGTCCATGCAGCTCTACCTTGAATCCAAACCGCTTTATCGTCGTCAATTAAAGTTCCCTCATGGTCTCTCATCAACAAATATCCTCCGTGTATTTCGTCAATACTTCGTGGAAACCAAAACGGAATGGTATCGTTGAGCAATTGATTTTTATAAAAAGTTTGTAATTGAATTAAATCTTCTTTTGTATATGACATGTCAAGCAATCAATTTGAATCTAACTTATTTTATAATACTATTCACTGGCACCTTAACAAAATATAGGTCTTTTGTGCCTTCATATAATATACCAATTGTATTTTCATCCAACATTGTCAAACATGAATAGCCGTAGGAAAGCCTTTCATCAATCAACACTTGATTGGCAGGTAGCCATGTTTCACCTAAATCTAAACTTGCTTTGATAGTGATATTATCTCGAGTTGCTCCATTATTTGGATTACTGAAAAATAAGACCACGGAAACTCTTGGAAAGGAAAAGTTT